CCTGAGCCTCTGGAATCCGTAACCGTTACCACTGAAGGTTCCTTGATGTTCCATCTTGCACACCAGAAAGTAAAGGCCCAGAAATGAGGAAGGGATGTGAGCTGGAGGGGCTGGGCCTAGCTGGCAGCGTCACACTGTGTAATCTTGAGCTCACAACCACTCTCTTCTCAATCGACTGGGTAAGAGGAAAAGAATTCAGGGAGAATTGCTTCAAAAATACCGAGTAAGTGTGTTTCATCTCCTTCATAGCTTTTACAACTTATCTCTGGGTCAAGTCAGACCAACAGGGAGAGCTCTACACTGAATCGTATTAGGCCCCAATGAGTTGCTTTTCCTGAATTGTATGTTCAGGTGATGCTGTCACTTTATATTGAGAATGATTATGAGACACGGAAACACATGACCATGAAATTGGCCATGGACCCCTTGTGTGGATGTTGTTTCAGATATTGCTCATTATGGGATATGCATGGGGTTTCTGTTACCATCACCCCTGTGGAGAAGTTCTTAGGTAATCTGTGCATCTGGGATGGTTGTAATTTTCCTGAGAAAGTTAGCTTTTATTGTATGAACACAGAGTATTCAGTATCTAAACAGATTTTCCTTTTTCTGTTAGCCAGTGGAAGCTCTGAGTCGAGTATGTAACTCCCTCCCAGCAGGTGGACTTGGAGGAAACGCAGCGTGGTCCTGCAGCTCCCCTTCTGTCCTGCTTGTCTTTTGTTTCCTGTCTTCTGGTTGCTTTTTGCCATCGTGCTTCACGTACTCTGTTTCCTGCTTCTGTGCTCATCAGCCACTGTGGTTGGACTAGGGTTTATAGTGGGTAGATCAGTGCCCAGTTAGCCTCCTTTGAATGCAGTCCCATGAGCTTCAACACATCTCTAGGGAAGGATTGTTTGAATTGCATGTTATGTGCGTTTGTGTGGTTGTCTTTCCCTCTACTTTGCAAACTATGTGAGAGTAAGAATTGTATCTGTCAATTCTGTGCCCCTGCAGAGAACCTGTAAAAAAGATCCGAAGTGGTAAGTGATTCTAGGATAATCAAAGAATGGATTCTAATGGATGAGACCCAAACACTTTGGAAGCCCTTTATCTGCTTGATCCCTCTTACGACTTGTAAGTGAAAAACTTGGACTTTGGTTTTGGGGAATACTCTCTCTGATCTCTTAGAAAGAGCATGGGCTGTGTGATTAGGCCACCAGGGATTTAATCTTGGGTCTAACGCTTCAATTCTGTGTGACCTGAGCAGGTCACTTAACACTGCAATGTATCAATTACCTTGCACTTAAATTAGGGATAAGAAAAATCTGCATCACAAAGTTGTAGGGATTAAGTGAAAACAAATGAGATAGATCACGCAATCAGTGCCTAGTATATTGCCTGGCATGGAGCAAATGCTCCAGAGACCATGCTTCTTATACCAGGCAGGATGTGCACCGTTCTGCTATGGTAAAAACTAACCCCCAAGATGTCAGTGGCATGAGACAAGAAAAGTTGGTGTTTTGTTTCTGGTAAGTTGAATGCTGATACCACCAGTCAGGCAGCTCTCTGGGTAGCTCTCCTCCAAAGAGTATTTCATTAGATCCAGACAACTCTTTTCCTTTGATGCCACCTTCAACTACCGCTTTGAAGGTCCTCACAGCAGGGGCAGGTGAGAAGGGTTGCTTGTAAGAGGTTATTTTATGGGCTAGTCTGGAAGATGGGGGATATCGATTTGTTACTCATTTCTAGGGTTTACCATATGGTCTTCCCCAGATGCACGGTGGCCTGGGAACAGTGTCCTTGTGTACATGAGAGAAGACCCAGTGCCATACACATAGCGTTGTGTTGCCACACTTTCCTTCTCTAGCCCCGGAGGCTGAGCTCAGTGAGGATGCGCAGTTAGTCCTCCCAAGGCTGCGGGCTCCCCTTGCATATTAGGATCTGTTGTCTGTGGCATTGATCTGACTAATTTATATCCTACATGGCAAAAGCAATGGAGGGAGAGGAGGGGCCCCTCTCCAGACCAACTGGCGCTGCTCCTGCTGCTTCTTAAGTTGTAAATGGTGTGTGTTGTGCTTTCATATATGGGATGTTCACCGTTGTTCTGGTTAGAGAAGGTTTATAAAGGTGATTTTGGGAGGATCATTTGAAATTTGTCAGACAGCCAATGTAGGGATGGAGCTTTCTGGATAGAAGTGGCAAGTGTGAGACTAGAAGAGCAGGTCAAGGACAGGAGACCACTCTGGGCTCACTGTTAGCCACGTATAGCTTTGTCTGTGTTAGGAGTTCCATTAGCATTTATTGGTTCATTCATTCAACAAATATTTATTAGGTTCCTACTATGTGCCAGAGCTATTCCCAGCCAACCTGAAGCTTGCTGTCTAGTGGAAGCTGGTTGATTGCCTCCCTCCTTACCTTTCAGAGGCCATCCTTCTCCCCTATATCTGGGGTAAAGTCTCTTCTCTCATCTCCTAACCTTTCCTCTTGTCTCCTTCCTTCCATCTTTGCCTTTTGACCCTTGCCAATGCACACTGGTCAGCTCCCCAGAGCACCAGTGACACATGGCTGTTGCGTGTAACTAGCTCTCACTGAAGAGTCGGGTGTCATGGACAGACAGGACAGGGAACCATTTCCAGCTCATAATCAGAAAGGCTTCCTGGACCACTACAATCTAGCACCACCCCCTACCTGTAGTCTTCCTAACACAAGACCGATGTGTGTGAGTGTTCCTTTGTTTGCTTGTTACTGTCAGTCTGTCTCACTAAATATTGAGAACAGACCCCTTTTATAAACCACTATAGCCAGGACCTAGTACTCTGTTGTATCTATATTCAATTAAATAGTTGTTTAATTAAAGCATGAATAAATGAGATCAAACAGATTTTTTAGTTTTTACCAACACATTAGCCACTTCCCATCAGGAAATTTCTCACTAGCCATCACCTTTGGTAGGTTTCTGCTTGTCATTGTGTTTCTTGGACTTCTCTCTCCCTCTCCTCTCCTTTTCTCTCTAGGTGTCCACATAAACATCCCAGGTTCCAGTTACTTTGTAGGGCAAAGTTATAAATACTCTCATCTTAAGCCCCAGCCTCTGCCTAAACAGGTGTAGCCCTCCTTCCCCTTGCTGACACTCATTGGGGGGCGAATGGCCAGCTCTTCTGGGTTTCCAGGCACAGCAAGAAAGGAAAGTGGAGAAAGCTTTTATACAACAGGTTTTCCTCAGTGTGTTGTGACCATATTCTGTACCAGATCTGTCTACAGGACTTCCACCATCATAAGCAGAGGAAATCCCAGGTCTAGGGGGCAGGTAAGGGATTCTGTCCTTTGCAGCTCATGGAGATGATGGTGTGATGTGACATGAAGCTACAGACACAGGCGGGGCCAGGAAGGGATGGCTCCCCCATAGGGACTGGAGCCAGAGGCGGGGCCAGGAAGGGATGGCTCCCCATAGGGACTGGAGCCAGAGGCGGGGCCAGGAAGGGATGGCTCCCCTATAGGGACCGGAGCCAGAGGCAGGGCCAGGAAGGGATGGCTCCTGCACAGGGACTAGAGCCAGAGGCGGGGCCAGGAAGGGACGGCTCCCACATAGGGACCGGAGCCAGAGGCGGGGCCAGGAAGGGATGGCTCCCCCATAGGGATCGGAGCCAGAGGCGGGGCCAGGAAGGGACGGCTCCCCCATAGGGACCGGAGCCAGAGGCAGGGCCAGGAAGGGATGGCTCCTGCATAGGGACTAGAGCCAGAGGCAGGGCCAGGAATGGATGGCTCCCACATAGGGACCAGAGCCACACACTGAGGGTAGGGAGGGATGTCTTCTGTGTGGGGATCAGAGCTGCAGGCTGGGGGGTGGGGAGGGATGGCTCCTTTATGGGGATCAGAGCCACTTTTGGATGCATGATGGGAGTTTAAGGGAGGGAGATGGTGATGAGAAGAGATCTGAGTGTTAAGGAGACAGGAAAGGGGCCGTGGAAAGGTGGTCTGGGATGTGAGGCTGGGCCTGGGAGAGCAGTCAGGAGGCTGTGGGGGAACTCAGCCCTTGTGCTGTTTCTGCATCCTGCGGGACCGCCTGGGCTGTGCTTCCGCCTGCTCTCTGTCCGTGTGGATGCTTGCATCCTCCAAAGCCCCGACTGGTTCTCCTCCTCCGGGATGCTCTGGGTCACTGTTTCTCGGGACAGCCCAGCATTTCCTAGTTGGAGCCCCAGTTCATCCTCCATCATTCAGCCCCACATCTCTCCTTGTTACCTGGAGGGGACTTAGAGCCTATAGCATATGCTCAGTAAATCCTCATTGAAATTGAATTGACACAACTCATTGTAAAAGGGTGGATGGCTTGTAATTTGAGGTTAAAGGGTAACACTTTACACACTGTCAACATGGACTTTATTATCTTCCATTATCTTTTGCATGATTGTCAAGTTTACAAATGTGATTTTCACTCCATGAAACATGGCTTTTCAAGAACTGCTTTTATAGGGAAGGGGGTGGATATTGAGAATTCTGCACCAGTTACGTTCCACGTGTTACTCCCCCTCCTCCTCACGGTATTTTCTGTCAGGCGGAGCCTTCCCTCCATGTTACAGGTGAGGAAACTGAGGCCTAGAAGCCTCTGCCTGAGCCGACCCGGATTTGCTGAGCTGTGGTTCGTGTCTACTGCTGCTGGCCTCTGAAGCGGTGCCCTCTGCTGCGTGCAGCATCTCTCCACGTTGCAGGAAGTCAGTACAGAGGCATGCCCCCGCATTCACTGTTCCTACTTAGACTGAGACATGGCTGTTTACTTTGTCAGGGAGGAAGATGGGAGTCAGTGTTACTAGCCTTATTAATGTTTTAAATGGAGGGGCCTGCAGATGCCAGCACCTTTGCTGAGAGCACCAAAGCAAATATAAAAATCCAATTTGCTTGCCTTTTTTTTTTTTCCCCTCCAGAGTTTAACATTCAGAGCTATAAATGAAGAGCCAATGAGACAGGGGTAACGAACCAAGCCTCAGACTTGAGGATGTGTTTACCCATATCTCTTTTATCTGCAGGTGGCTGTGCCTTTGATGAGCACTACAGCAACTGTGGTTATAGCGTGGCCCTGGGGACCAATGGTTTTACCTGGGAGCAGATTAACACGTGGGAGAAACCAATGCTGGACCCAGCGGTGCCCACAGGTACGTGACCCACCATGTTTGAGACCACGGTGGAGATGGCTAGCTCTTATGGGGACTTGTGGGAAAATATTTCCTGTGGCTTGAGCTGTCTGAGAGGGCCACGGAAGGCTGTGTCGGTAGTAAGCTCCCCATCCCCAGAAGTATTCATACCAATGCTGAGTGAATTCTTAAGGAAGTGGTAGGAATCACATGTCACCTGGATTTAGGGACCTTTAGGATTTCTTTTAGCTTTGAGATCTTTAGCTACAAGCAGGACATCCCTGGGTTTGCTGGGGAGCTTGGTAACAGTGGGATTTGGGGGAAGGAAAGAACTTCTGAAGAATGGGGTCATTCCTTTCCTTCCAGGCCACATAGATACAACTTGTGCATATGTAGGGGAATCTCCACTGTCAGAATAGTACTCAAAAGTTAATGTCCTGACATCCTGAATGCCAAGCTTATCCTTACCCAGTGGTGCTAAAGGCCTAAGGAAGCTCCTGATGGGTACCTGGGTGAGGCGGGCCTGTGAGAATTACTCCCGATGTGTCCTGGGCGAGGTACGGTTGGGGGATGTTCTCAGGGAGAACACATTTATGGTGGTGTGTGCCTCGGTGAGCTGAGTCTTGAAGAGGCTTACGGGTGACACTAACCAGGAAGTTATGCTCTGGGAACATTAAGATCGCCTCTTTGGACAATATGGTCTCAAGTGCAGTTGGAAAGACAATCAGCTGCCCGGGAGGGGAGATCATTCCCTGGGGTTCCTCCCTGGTCAAGGACTCTCTCCAACCCATATACTGTCCTGTTTTTTTAATGAACCCTTCCTGGCTCTCTTTCTCACTCTGGTCATTAAATGCTGGAGATCTTCAGGTTTGCTCTATACTCTGTTCATGTGTATTAGTCAGGGTTCTCCAGAGAAATAGAGCCAGTAGAATAGAGAGAGAGATACATATGAGGAGATTTATTGTAAGAATTGTCTCACACGGTTATGGAGGCTGAGAAATCCCATGATCTGCTGTCTGCGATCTGGAGAACCGGAGGGCCAGTGACGTAATGAGCTGGAGTGTGAGGGCCTGAGAATCGGAGGGCTGGGGCTGGAGGCCTGAGACCCAGGAGGGCCTCTGTCTGAGGGCAGGAGAAGATGGGCACCCCTACCTCCAGCAGGCAGCGGACTCTCCCTTCCTCTGCCTTTTCTCCCGCTCAGGCCCTCAGGGGTTGGATCATGTCCACCTACAGTCGGGGTGTGTGTGCCTATCTGCTTTACTCAGTTTGCCAATTCAAATGCTTATATGTTCTGGAAATACCTTCATAGACATACTCAGAAACAATGTTTTACTAGCTCTTTGGACATCCCTTGGCCCCGGTCAAGTGGACACATAAAATTAACTGTTACACCACGGGTGGCCTCAGCTACTCCTATGTCTTCAGTTGCCATGAGAAATCTCTTACAGACTCCAGACCTACATGACCCCCTGCCTGGCCTGCCAGATCTTTTTGGCTGTTTGTGGGGAGAGGGATTTTCCAGGATGCCAGTAATCTGGAGGCAGAGAAGATGCTCAGGGATGTCCAGGTGAGGGTATGGCCTGTGTGGCCTCACTGACCTTGTCTCCAAAGCAGGAGGCTATTGGATGACTCTGCATAGTTCCTGCATGAATTGTTTGTATAACATTAGGATCTAGTATAGATCCTGGCCTCATGTATAATAAAACTGTGCTATGATACAAAACTGAACATAAGACCTGGTAAGATCTTACTTTGCATGAGCAGAGTCACCAAGAACTACACATGCCTATCAGGAAGGTGGCTAAGGGACAAGCTCTATGCCTGTTGTCCCATCATAATTTTTAACATTGCTGATTTTACTCTCAAAGGTATCTCGGTTTTGATAACAGAATCACTCATTCACTCTCTGGGGACTCCAGGAGTCCAGAGCACCTGCGCCAAAACATATCTATACCTGCTCTGCTTTGTATGGCCATCTTTGATGTTGGCCAAATGCATCAGATCTAATCGTATTTATGTGTGTGTGTTTGTTTACATGCACACATATCTTCTTCCTGCCTGCCTTTCACCCACCTGGAGCCCTACAGAGTATTGTAGGCTCTCCAAACTCAACATTCCCTAAACTGAACCTGATTCATCTGACCTCCCTCCCTGTCCACTCCTCCTGAGGGTTCTGTGTCTCAGGAAAAGCCACTCTCCATGGAATCTTTTCTTCCACCCTGTTCTCTTGCAGCCCTCTTCGTATCTCAGCTTAAACATCTTTTCCTTTGGACAGCTCTCCCTGCATAACTCCTGTCTGGGTCTGCTCTCTCTGCAAATGTTTCCCATCCTGCTCTGTACTTTCCCTCAGTAACACGCATCACAGCAGATATTATTTGTTTAATGCATGTTTTACCCCCAGATGAGAAGCTCTGTGTGAATAGGAACCATGACAATCTTGTTCACGGCTTTATCTTCAGTGCTTAGTATGGTGCACGACACACAGTCTATACTAAATAATATTTTGTCGGATGATTGCATGGATGGATGGGCATATAGTGTTTATCAAATGTTTTTTAAATGAATGATAAACATTTTTAAATGCCTTTCAGCCCTCTATAATCACAAATTTTGAAGCATTGCTACTGTCCTTCCATTTTACAGATCAGAAAACCTAGGACCTAAGAAACTGAGTGACGTTGTTGCTTTTCCCACCATGCCACTCTTTCTTCCCCAAGGAACAACTCTTGCTTCTAATCTTAATTTTTCTCAGCCCCTCATTATGGCCAAGTGTCATTTCTTAAATATTGAATTGTGCTAATACAGTCTTCTGAGCTTTTTTAAATAGAGGCATTTGATAATGATCACTGAAATTATTCCGTCATGATGCGCCTGTGGATTTCAGTGGCTCTGTGTGCTTGGGCAGAGAGGCATGAAAGTGAATTTGTATGAAGCGAAATTCTTCTTTTTTCATGGGCAAAAGCTGGAATCTTACTTCTCCTTCTGTGAAGCCAGCAGTTGCCTTCCTTTTGGAATCTAGTTTGAGTCTATTTATTGACATGTTCCACGACCTTTTACTGCTCCCCTTCTGTGTGGCAAGCTCTGTGCTAGACTCTGAGTAAACCAGACCATGTCATTTTGTCACTTAATCCCCATGCTGACTTCTCCTGGCACCTGAGATGAAATCTGAGCCTGCAAGGTCCTGCATGATTTTGTGTCTTTTCCAAGCCCTGTTTCTTCTCAAAATGCCCTCCACACACTTGTCATGTTTCAGCTCCTTGGAGACTGAAAGACCATCAGATTCTTCCCTGGCTCAGGACATTTGCACATGCTGTCCCCTCCCACTGGAAGAATTTTCTCCACTCTTTACTCGGCCAGTTTCTTCAGGTCTCAGCCCAAGTGCCTGAGATCTCAGGGAGGTCACCGTTTATTTCTCTCTCTAAGGAAAGGTGCCCTCATTATTCTTGCTCATAGCATCCTGTTAGTTGCTTTCAAAGTCCCCATCATAGACATGTTTATGGGCCAGCTAATTCCAAGCCAGGTGACTCTGGAGCCCAAATCCTTCTGTCTCAGGTTCCTCATCTTTAACTCTCAGGGTAAGAGTTAAATGGGATGACGGCTGCGTGAGTGTGAAGTGCCTGCACATAGTGGGGCTTATTCAGTGTATGTCATTTTTTTCTGTTTTTTACAGTCCCTGGGACTGGAAGTCTATGTTTTCCTCTGTTGTTTACAGTCTCTGGTACTGTAAGTCTAAGCCCTCCTTAGAACCTTGCCCCCTTCTTCAAGTTCACCTGACCACAGGTGCTGCTTTACCTGGGTGTCCCGCCCAGCAGGTGGCCTGCTGTGGGGTCCTAATGGGCCTAGAGAGGCTTTCCCACGTCCAGAGCACATGCTACACCGAGGGCTTCCGCACCCACTCCCTCCCAGCTCTCTGAATTCAGTGCTATGCACAACCACTGCCAGACTTTTTTCTTCCTCTGTCTCTGTGGGAAAAGCCCTTGGTTATCATTCCAGGCCGCAGACCGGAGTTGACCCCCACGTCATCTTGTTTGGGCTGTCCTAGAGGAATGGGGGTTGCCACCCCCACAGAGCCTACCTCTGACCCTCTATATTGTCCATGAATGAACTGCAGCTCCCGCTGATGCCTGGTTCTGCCTTCCCCAGCCTGGGCACGAGTTCTTCATGCCCACCCTGGGGTACAGCCAGGGCCCAGAGGGAGGGTCTCCTGGAGGCTGAAGGGAGATACAAGGGATGCAAGTGTCCTTTTAAAAGGGCAGAAGCCAGAGGCAATTGGCCTTGAGAAGTCGCCTATTTCCTTCTAATGCTTGTAGGATCTTATTTTAACTGTTGGAATGGATAGGGTTGAATCTCAGGCTGAGAACCCAGGTGCATAAGAAGTGCATTATAACTTAAATCTGACCCTGAACATCCAGGGAGTTAGACATTAAATTTATGTCTATTATTGGGGCTTCCCTTTCCCTAGGGGTCTATAGATGTCCTGGGGACTTAAACGGGCCATTGGGCTTGCATTCAAGAAGCCTAGTATGCTTCCTCTGTGGTCCCTTTGCTCCAGTCATTCTGCTGCTGCTTTCTTGGGCTTGGGGCTCTTGTCCTGCGTCCAGCCATCCCAAGCGCATCACCCAGCATCCCTCCTCGGGGGGCTCTGCCACAGAGCAGTGTGGGACCGGCAGAGCCATCCCCTCCCCTTCCCGGCATGCAAGAACACCTCTCCTCACCTCCTTAGCCCTCAAAGGCACAGCCCTCTTGGTTTAGCTCTTCTCAGACACACAGCATAATCTTTCCGGTAAGTTTAGACTTTAGGAAATAAAACAAAAGAGGAAGGAAGGAACCCCTGACTTCAAACATCTTCTCTCCATCCTGCACAAATTAATAGAGCAGAGACACACAAAGAGCCTAGTTAGTTATGTGATTGGAAGGGGCAGGTGTTGGGAAAAATACACACAAGCACACAGACAGGAAGATTTCATCCAGCCAGCCTGCCATGGAAACAGGTGCAGTGTCCAGGGTGGTCCTGCGCTTTC